CCGATCTGTCCGTTTTGGTCTTATTGCAAATCAAAGTGTGAAAAGAAGTCTGAGCAATCAAGCTGTCTAAGAAGATCTGTGCTGAAAGTAAAAGTGAAGTGACGACCTTTGAATTCTCTTTTCTGTGTGTAGGTTCCATCCCCCATGAAGTGCCTCAGATCTTAATTAATAGGGAACCTTTGCCTCATCTACACTTTGATGTGGAGCTTCTCGGAGACTGTGATGTTATAATTAATGAATTATGTCAAAGGCTTGGTAGTGAATATACCAAACTTTGCTACAACTCAGTAAAACTTTCAGAAATAACAGAAAAGCCTCCACGAACGCACAAGGAGCTGGAAATGCACTCATCTGAGCTACCGCCTACTCCTTTGAACATTTCAGAAGACTCTAGTTCACCAGAGAGAATGACTCCACCAGACACTTCGGTGGTGTCCTCGGAACACCCAGCTGAATGTAAGGCACAGAACTGTGACCCTGCCTCAGAAACTAAAGGGACTTGCACAGAGGAGAAGCTTCAGGACATACAGACATCATCAGAAAGCCCTGAAAACCCTACTAGTGAAGTAATGAACTCTGAAACCATGAAGGAAAATGGATCTAGCAATGGAGAAAATAAAGAAAAAAATGAATTGCTGAAGAAGTGCTGGGTAAATAGATCTGCAAAAGAACAGATTAGCAAAAGGCTGGATGGTAAGTGTTAACTTACTCATTTCGGTGTTTTGCATTTTGTGGCCAAGATGTTTGTTCTAGGCTTACTTTACAGCAGTAAGTTACCCATGAGGGATTCACTGAGGTTGGGTGGTTACTTTTGTTCAGACAAGTGTCTACATAACTCATCATTATATTGTTTATTTCTTTTGGAGAAGCCAACAGGAAATTTTTTTGTAATTCATAATAGGTTTTATAATCAGTGATTACATACTCCCTAAAAAGACCAAAGTTGAGGAGGTTGAAGGTAGGTGTCAAAAAATAAATCAGTCTCTGATATTTTCAGATGCATTTTTCAGAAAAATTCATTTGGTCCTCAGGTGTTCAGAAGCTGGTTGCATTAGGTCATGATTTGCTCGGGCAGTAGAACCGAGAGATGAAGACGTGCTGGGAGCTGAAAAGCAAACCTCACAGCTGAGGCCAGGCACATTTGGAAGGAACCTTTAGACTTTCCCAGGCTGCCTCCCAGCACTCAGCCTGTTAACGAACTGGTGTTCAGAGTTACCGCGCTAGAAAACCAGCGTGGGCGAAGAACCGGGAATTACACTGCAACTTCCCAGAGCAAAGGCTGGTTTTAAACTTGGTCAAACAGCCTGTGCAGGGGGTTCCACACCTGTTACAAGTAATGGAAATGTAGCTGTGAGTACATGTACCGAAGTAAAAAGCTGCTGATTGTCACAAGATTAAAGGCTCTTTTGTGTCAAAGGGAAGGGGGAGAAGGGATGCTGAGCTCTCCAGGGAAACATCCATCTGTGCTTCATAATAAATGCACATACATGGAAACAAGCATGGTTCTACTGCAGTCTGGTTTGTCAGCTAAGCTTCACTGTTGGAAATACACCTAAGCAGGTACCTTCTAACCAGGAGTCTGCAAGATCTTGTACAAATTGTTTATTTTAGCCTTTTACTGACTTGAAATTCTCTTCCAGGTACTCAGTATCTATTTTTACCACCAAACCGGTATATTTTCCATGGGGCCGAGGTATACTCGGATTCTGAAGACGATATCATATCTTCTAGCTCTTGCGGCAGTAGTAGCGAAAGCGGTTCGTGCCGTAGCCAGAGCTTAGATGTGGAGGACGAGAGCGAGATCGAAGAGTTTTACAATGGTATAGAGGATGAGGATGCTCCTGAGAGGGAAGATGAACATGGATTCGGGGAAGACGGAGTTGAACAAGACGAGTCGGCAGTTGACGAGTCAGCCTACACAAGTGCAGCCGCAGGGACGGATCACCCAAGCAACAAGTTGTAAAGCGATCACAGACTGGTTACAGGAACTTCCCACCAGCATTAGGAGCTTTGGCATGTCAGAACGAATGTTTACGTCTGAATTTAGAGCAACGAAAACATAAGGATGTAGTGTTTATAAGTAACTACAACAGATTTTCATGCTTAGTTTTTTACCTTTTTCAATAAAATTCTATTACTGCGCACTTGACACTAACGCATCTTTTTTTTTTTAAGGTACTAGGAATATCTAAACAATTGTCACTATATTCACTTTTAAGTTCATCTTCTGATCAGGCATCCGTGTATATAATACATTTTTTCGCTTAATGAATTTCAGCTTATATTATTTTAAACAGTTTTGAAAAAGCCATTGGAATGTTAAACTAATATAAAGGGAACAGCTAATTTAGACCAAAGAACGGTATTTTCACACCTCTTGCTTTGTAACAGTTGGGTTTATTTAAAACCTTCTTACGCTTCTGCTAAACCTTTCATTCTTGCCTAGTCTGTCATTAAACACTGGCATTTTCTAAGACCTACTGTGGCAGCTAATTTTTTGCTTTAACAGTTACTTTGTATGTTTGAGACATACTTAAATGTGAGTAGATAGCTGAATGGAAACAAGACAGGGAGCACTTGAGGAACCCCATGGTTTTTAGACTGGTCAAGAAGCGCTGTGAAGATGCTTTGGTTACCGAGTTCGTGGACGTGAAGTGATGCTGACAGCGGCTCCTGAGCAGTTACCACACTGGCATTTGAAACAAAACGGATCCCCTGCGGTAGAAGTCGTTCACCTCGTCTACAGAAGTCAAACGGAGCGCAGCTCGCGTTACAGACAGCATTTGAGAAGTTGCCATGGTTCTCGTGCGGAAGGCTGAGTTCAGAACAGCGTTCCTGCCCGCACCAGAGAAGGTGCAAGAAAAGCGAGCTCTTCCTTTGTACTTACTGATGCAACAAAACCCGAAGAAGCTAAACCGAAACACCGAGAGCCTCTGCTGACGCTGCTGAACGGATAAACCACAGGTTGGGCACCTAACCTGGAAGCAGCCTGGTCTGAGGTCGTGTCTCAGGTTAGAAAAATAATTTTCCACCTGCTAGCTCCACCTGGCATATTAAAAGCAAAGCAGCTACTCCAATTATTACCTTGTATATATTCAAGCGCTAGGCTGCCTTAAAACTGGATGTGGCAAATTTTCAAGTGCAGATTGTTTCCAAGCCTTTAGAACTATTTTGTAAAATTGCACAGTGCAGTAGTAAGTGAAACAGCATTTTTCTATAAACCACTTTTTCAACATTGGCCCAAACAAACTCGATGATGTAGATTATTCGTCTCCTTTGCTTTACTATTTATTGCATTTGGAATATGTATAGTAGCTGTTCTTTGAGCGCAAGATACATCAGCCAGTAACTATTTAAGAACAGCCTCCTGTATTCATCAGAAAATGTTGGCATGTTGTTCCATTGTCTGGATTTAATACAGCTCTCATTTGGCTACACTAAAGAATGCAATATGTTTAGTTTTCACTTGCATGTCATAATGTATTAGTTTGTGCTATAGGAGATATTTTAAATTGAAATACTTTGTTTTAAATTATTTTTACAGTGAGGATTGTTTTCTGCTCTTTTATATTGTATATAGTGTCTTTTATGTAATCTACTGGCATATGTTTTGTAGAAGACTGTTTAAAATGACTGGCTATCTTCCTGCAACTTTTGAAATACAAAACCAGTGTTTTATACTCGTACACTGTTCTAAAGTCTATTAAAACTGTCATTTGATTTCTGGTTTCCGTTAATTTCTGTTTAATCTTAACAACTTAACAAACGATGTCCTATAAAGTCAAGGTATACTCTACCTAATATAAAGCATTATACAATAAATTGCTTTTTTTCCATCTGTCCCCTTGGGGGAAAAAAAAAGCGCCCAAATCAAACTGTTCTGCACTGAGCAGAGATCTGCTCCTGGTGGCCCTCAAGGGCAAGGCCTGGTTTAATTAGGTTTCCACAGTGTGATACCTTACTATTTTGATGATCCCACTGTACTCACAAACCACCATCCCTCAAACTACATTTGTGTGAGGCAAAAGAAATTGTCTCTAAAACTCACATGGTTGAGAGATGACAAAGTATTAAGAATACCAAGAATTTTCTACAGAGATATTTCCCTACCAATTGCTTATTACTCTGACAGAACTCAGTAACATTTTTCCTCTAGAATAAAACAGCTGCACCTTGTCCTACACCTAGGTGAAATTCTACCTTTTTTCTTGCTTGTATCTTTGTCAGATTATTTGAACAAAAGAGGACCCCCCAAACTATAACATCTCACCTTACTCCTCTACTTCACACACTATCCTTCCCCTGTAGTGAAGGTACCACCTTTAAACATTGTTTAAAATACTCATAAGGCAGCTGGGCATGAGGAAACTCTTGCAGTCACACCATTGTTATCCCTCAGATTTCAGCATCTTACATGAAATTCATCTGGAAGCATGGCAGAGTGTGTTTGGTTCCTGCTATAATTCACAAGATCTCAAAAGGGAAGATGCTTTTTCTCAGAATTTGCAGTACTACACTAACAACCCTCTTAGCATTTACGTTTAACAGAAGCCCTGACAAAAGTACAGCCATTTATTTAATAAGACAGTGCCACTACCCAGCCCCCTTTGAGCCTATTTAGATGCATCAGACACAACAATGACCTTACACAAGTATTTAAAGTGATGTAAATTAGTCCATATATAAAAATCTTGTAATTATTTTTTTTTTTTACTGAAAACATATTCTCCACAGGTCTATCTCAAACCCAGTACATTTTTAATTAGTGTTTTTGATTACGGAAAATACATATTCTCTTTAAATGCCTGACAGCAAAGCATCAAACAACATCCACCTGGGAGAGACTGTAAGAGTTTGAATGAAACCAGCATTCGTAATCGATTTGAAAAACTGAAAATAAGTTTGAGAAAAAGGAAGACAGAATTCAGTATCTTCAGTTCAATACCCCAGCTTAAAAACCAAACCAGAATGGCCGAATCTAAAGGCAGTTGCAATTATTTGCATAACATACTTATCTACAGTGACTGGAGAATAAAATCTAGTTCAAAATTTCAGGCTAAAGCAACTGGCAGTGTCGGTGTGGGGATGGGCTCTGAACTAGCTCCAACTCATCAACACGAGGCCCAAGGACCATCGAGCTGGAGACACGGGAACGCAGAGGCAATGAAGTAAAACCACCGCAGACAGAAGTGAACCTGAAGTAAAGCTGCCCCAGGACGCTCTGGGACCTCAAAGTGGCCTCAGCAAGGAATCGGGCAAATTCCAATGGGACGGGAACACCTGTGCTCTCCTGGAACCAGCACCCGGGAAGCTCCAGGTGGGGACAGTTTGTGCCCCAGATTAAGGCAGCAGAGCAGCTCTCAAGTGAAACACAGAAAGAGCTCTGCTGCCACTGTTCCCCCTGCACCTCTGCTACAACAGACCAGGCAAATGCTCATCAGGCACACCCGGAGCCGCTACTCACCCCGCCGAGGAGACGGAGAAGGAACCACGGGTCTTTACAGGACTAAGTTTCTTAAGAGACACCCGGTGACTGCACAAAATTGTCAGTCCTCCCCCAGAGCAAGAGCTACTCGGCCGTCCCTGCGAACCCCTCTGCCTTCCACACACGCCGAGCTGCCCCTGCGTCAGCAACACCGGCAGAGCAAACACACACAAACTGCAAATGAAGCTACTGACTGCAGAGAGCGAGCGAAGAGGTTTTTAAAAGCCACAAAGGAAAAGTCCTGAAACATTTCATACACGCCAACAGTCAAGTCCTTAAACATACAAACATATTTCAGTCCGGTTTGGTTTTTTTTCACTGCACAATTACTGTTTGTAACAATTTCCAACGGCAAAGCTGCCCCCGGGCACCCACCTCCGCTCAGGGATCAATCC